AGGATCAATCTCCAAATTGTTTCCTAGAGTTTTCCTTTGCTTCAACATCTCACTCCCAGACTTCAACCGATCCACAGCCACATCTCCACAACACAGTATTTCCTTAACCAAATGGCCTGACCCTACCGTTATCAGCCTTGCTGTCATCCCACTGTACTCCTCTACATTAAGAGCCAGCTTCGTCCAGTGGGCTACACACTGTCCCTCTACTGCCTCCATCTTCTTCTTGTCAGTATTCAACTCCCCTGCTATTACCTCCCTTGCCATTGCCCCTACCTCCACCATCACCTCTTTCTCCTCTACCTTTTGAACTAAAAAGTTACTGAAAGTCTCCAAGATCCTATCCAACTCCTTCAACAATCCCTCATGTCCTTTAGATACTATCTTCAACCCACCTCTTTTCTGACCTTTTCCTTTTTATTCTTCTTTTTCTCTTTTTCATCATCATCATTGGAGTCAGAATCCTCAGTTTCTTTTGGGGGTTGGAAGGAGAAAAAGTAATGGGATTGGTCAAGCTTGACAGCAGCAAGGTCTTTCGTCAAAGACCATTGGGTCTCATCCGCTACATGCGCAAGGGCAGCGATGGTGTTATCATCTTGGCAAAGGAGGATGATTTGGAGTTCACTGGAGGCGAGCTCGATGAGTAATGCTGGTCGATCAAATGGAAGATTGCATCGGGGATTGTGAGGTAAACCTCTTCAATGGATTCCAGAGGGGCAGTTGGGGAAGGTGGGTTAGTTTCGAAGTTGTGGGGGAGGAGGTTCTCAACAAGGTCAATGGTGGGGTAGAGGGGTGTAGATGAGGGATATGGAGGATCAATTGTTTGGTAATTTGAGTTGATGACATGGGGTTCGAGTGGGAAATGGATTTTGAGACGCCATTGTTGGATCAGAAAGAGGTTACTTAGGGACACAATTGACAATGAACAAAGAGATGACATATTTCATGGATTCAAGGAATAGTGTACTGGTCGGATATATAAATATGATTTATTTTATTAATTAAAGAAAAAATTGCATAAAATATTCGAGTTTTTTTTTTGTGGAAGGAGGGCGGTACCTCCGAAATTTTATTAATATGCCCTCACTTGTGGCGGAGGAATATCGTGGTTACAAATGATATCAATAAAATCAATAAATAAGGAAGTACTACTTCCCTAACAATACTTATCCTTAGACTATACATTTTTTGAACGGACGAAATTTTATTAAGAAAGAAACCTCACTTGTGGCGAAGCCAATCAATATCGAAG